TGCGGTGCAAACGGACACTTGTGAAGACTCTAGTTAGTCGTGCCAGACGAATTTGTTCGGCCGACTGTCTGGAGGATGAGCTAGTGTTAATTACAGCGACACTAATGGCGAACGGCTACCCTCGAAGATTTATCGAGAAACACAGCCAACAGCTAGGGCCAAAGGACTTGGTGCACACGGCAGCCAAGAAGAAAGTGTATATCGAGTTACCTTTCAAAGGTGAGTTAGCCACTCTGAAGACAACTAAGCGTGTAATTTCGGCTACACAAGTAAGTTACTATGCTGCACAAATTGTCGTCATCAACCGAACCCGAAATTTGCCCATACCTCCAACGAAGGAAGCTCAGCCTATTGGGGCCAACTCACACTGTGTACACCAATTTGTATGTGACTGCGAAAATAGTTACATAGGCAGAACCAATAGAACGCTGACTTCCCTAATAAAGGAACATGTACCAAGATGGGTTCAACGTGAAGTTGCTCAGATTGCCTACCCTCGTCAGATTCCATGTTCGCGCTGACCGCCGGCTTCCTCGATAGACAAACACCTATTAGACTCGGGTCACCAGATAGAGCTGGGTTCTGCGTTTCAAGTTGTGTTACGTCTAATCCCCGCTTCCTTCGGTTTGCTGAGGCTGTCGCTATAAGCCGGATTAAGCCAGCCTTGTGTGTTCAGAAACAATTATTTGTCAGCCTAAAGCTGCCTTGGACGTAGGTGTGAACTTCCGTCATTCGTTTTGCACCTTAAGCTTGTTTGGTTGCACCCACTGTTAGCTATATCTATGTATATCGGTTATTGTTAATGATACTGAGGAGACAATACGAAATGCATGCATCTACCAGCCTTCGTCTTCTTTCCGTGCATATCAACAACTGTATCCAGCCAAACGTGTTTATCTTCTTCCGGACCCCAACCAGGGATCCGAGGGTCCCCAACCGAACCAACTTCGAATTATATTGTTTACTTACTCTAGTGCAAGTCATCACTAGGACGCCTCTTCAATACATTTGGCGGGCAAACAGCGCACGTCGCGGGTGTCGGTGGGTTGGCATGCGCAACACATGGCCCACCCATCGGAGCCTGGTGCGTGATATAGCGGTGCTGAGCGGTTCAATTCTTCTTCCTCTGCCATTGACTGGACGTCGAACACGCTCATTGCTCACACGGTGTTCCCATCAGATATGAGCCAAACTGCGAAAGCAATGATGGTGGAACGTAATTAGCCTCTTTACGTCTGCCGAGTTAATGGGCCATGTTTCACAACCGTACAGCAGGGTCGAACGTACTGCTGCATTGTACCCTCTACCCATCAGCGAGAGAGTGATGTCGCGCCTGCGCCCTGCGTGGTGAAAGTTAGCAAAAGCGCCCCGAGCTTTTGCTATCTGGTTTGTGATCTCGTTTTTAATTTCAACAGCGCTGATACAACTGCCAAGGTAATTAAATATTTGAATAACTTCTAGCTGATTCCTACCAATGGTCAGCGCAGGAAGGAGTCGCTGCCAATCTTGGAGGAATGGTTTGCGCTTCGAGGGAGCAAATCATACTCTGAAATGACTGACAACCAGTACTAATATGTTTAGTGCTGTTTGGCACGTTTGTGAGGTGTCACAGATAAGGGAAGTGTCGTCAGCGTACTCCAAGTCAAGAAGTCATTCAGCTGGGAGCAGTTCCACACCTAAGTCGTGTCTTGTAAACGCAATCTCCATGACTTCGTCAATAGCGAACTTGAGGAGGGAATATGTCAGCAGACATCCTTGTCTTACACCGCTGGAGATATTGAAAAGTGGCGACAGCTTGCGGGAAGCCCTCACTGCTCGGGCTACACGCGTAAACCACTCGGACGATGTTTGACCACCCTATTTGAACAAGTCTGAAAGTCAAAGGACATCCCAGCTAACTGGAGTGAATCAATGATTTTGGCGATATACAAGAAGGGAAGTCGCACTGTGCTAACCACAAAGATATTTGCCTAACACCAGTTGTGACAAAATTACTGGCCTCAATTCTCGTTCTTCCCCTCATTGCGGAACGGGAATACTGGATTAGGGAGGGTAGACAGGCTTCCGCCCTGGACGGGGCTGTGTAGACCACACATATTCACTTTGCGACAGGTGCTAGTGCAGCACCACGCGTACCGCAGGCCAACGATAGATGTATTGCTAGACTTCAATACTATTCGAAATACTTGAGTGGGAAGGTGTTCCTGCTAGATTGGTGAACATTTTGCGTGTCCCACACTCGAACACCACAAGCCGGCTCAAAGTCTACGGTGATTTGTCGGATGTCTTTCCGACAACAAGTATCGTTTCTCAGGGTTATCCTGTTTTCCCATTTTTGTTCAACCTCATCATAGACTCCATCATGTAGTGTTCCCTTTCGGGGCCTCACGATGCAGGCGTTGAGGTACTGTCTGGCGAAAAGCTAGTTGCTCTTGATTGTGCACACAACTGTATTGCTTTTTAACGATGTTGAGACGCCACAATCAACCCTGAATAGCCTTTTAAGAGTGGTTCCATTATTTGGCATGCGCTACGCACCTTCAAAGTGCAAAGTCAAATTATTCTCATCAGGCCATTACAGTAATAAGGGAACGTTGCGGGCCCGTCAAATATCCCCGAAAAAACGCGCCAGAAACTCCGGCATAATGGCTGTGGAAAACAGGTCCAATTCCTCCCCACAACGTAGCAGTGTTCAGCCACTCCGAGACGCGGCCCAACTGCGCACCTGTTGACAATATTCTTTTACATACTACCACCCCGTCGTGGTAGCTCTTTTCCCTAACTTAATGACCCATAGCATTGGCTGTGATTCGCCCTTTGGTCGTAAAAGAGCCTTCAGAGGACCACTTGCCTTTCTTCCTCTTCGCCTAAGTTGGGAGTCGGTCTATCACTTGATTTTGTGTGCGTCGATAGCCGGACAGCGTTCGCGTCTAAGTCACTAACGCGTGTCCACCGTAACCCCCTCACGTGTGCGTCCGTTCGGAGGGCTCAGCGTCTACCCGAGTACGTGCGGCTAGGATCGTTCTCACGCTCGCTCAATTTCCGTCACACCAGCGCGTACCCTGGGTTAAGCTACGCCATCAGGTCAGCGCAAATCCGTTCGATTGGTCAGCGTTCCAGGCCGTTACAGTAGGCATGCTCCAATCATGCCAGTGATAATCTTATCAGGCATCTACGCAATCATAACAAAGGCGTTTCCCTCGATTATTACAGGAAAACAACGCAGTAAGCCGCTGTCAGCTACGCTGATGATGGCTATTTCTAGAGTTTGAACGGAATCAGTAAGATCGATGCCTAGTTGGATTCACTTAGGGTAGGCCTCGCAGCCGATTGTAACTCTCCTAGGGTAAGCTTTGCAGACGATAGTACGCCGTTAGTATCCGACACCGAGTAACTGACGCGTGGCCAGGGCAGGAGAAGCACTTGTACAAGGGCTCACTGCTCGCACCACTCGGACTGAGTCAGTCTGATGAAAATTACTTCGGCTGTCTTCAAGAGATGCTTTCGGAGAGCCTTCGGATGACGTGGAGACACAGAGTAGAGGACCGCAAACGCGTCCGATGTTCGAATTTCATGTCTACTTAGGGTCAAATGTTCCATGATAGGGCTGTCTATGCTTCTTCCCATGCCACTTCCTAACGACCCTGGGTAGTGTTCTGCTACTCGTTTTGACAGACGCATTGTTGTATGCCCGGGGTATCTTGCACCACAGGTGCAGGTAAATTGATACAGGTCGTATGATTGACACAAGACCGAGAGTCTGTCTTCGAGACGCGGTCTGAGTAAACACATGTAGGTAGGTTTTGGACACTGCGGCTGAGTCTTTTTTTGCGTAAGACCACAGCAAAATCTTTGAATGGCACCGGTGAAAAAATATCCATTTTTGCTACTGTTAATGTGATTTCGGAGCGCAGACGAATTGTGGGGTGCTTTATGAACGGGGTATCCGTTCTCTTGCAGTGTACTGAAGATACAATGTTTCTCATCCTCTAACATCTCCGGGCCACAGATTCTGTCGGCACGATGATGTAAGCAACGTACTAAGCTCCGCTTGTGTTGCAAAAGTACAAAGCTTAGAAGTGTGTCTATTGGTCCGCCAATGTCATCTTCCGGAAAATGCTACTATCCAGAGGGCTGTCTTTCCGTTGCTTCAGCGATATGTCCGAAAAAGCCAGTCTTCTCTCGCTTTCTATCTCACTGGTGAAATGCAACGTCGGATGTGCGCTGCTGAATTGAGCTAGGAGACGAGAAACGTCTCTGCTTGAATCACAAATAATGAAAGTATCACCCACACATCGAAAGTTGAGATAACCCCCTTCAAGCTTCGTAGTCGCAGTGGACCCCAGTAGCATGTCTGCTGTCGTCTCCTAGTGGGACTGCCTGTTGTTTCACGTGTGTATGGTGCTGATTTATCTGCAGCGTAATGGCTGATTAGGACGCGGGGCAGTGAAAGCCGCGTGGAAGCTTTCCCGTTGATGCCCCCTTATGTTTGCACGATTGCCTGCTGTTTGTGACGGTATGTTGTTAACACAAGGTGTAGCTGCCTTGACCCTGAATGTTTACTTTGGGCAATAAGATTTTCCTTCTCCCTCTTATTGTTCTTCGTTCCTTAAGTCACCGTGATTGTACGGCAGCGAAGCATCAGTTCAAGAGGTTGATGTATTGCTGTTGATGTTGTTGATTTTATATATATATATATATATATATATATATATATATATATATATATATATATATATATAGAGAGAGAGAGAGAGAGAGAGAGAGAGAGAGAGGTTTAACAATTTTGAAAAGCTAACCCACCTTCTTTGTTTTTTCCAGTTACTAGATAGTGCTTAGTGGAACATTAGCCACCAACACTATAATTTTTCGTTCTGCTGATTCGAGCCATCTTTGCTTTTTGGGTTTGATTCCGTAACTGAGGACGACATGCAGATATGTGGTATGCTAGCGGTGAGGAATATACACTTAGTCTCTCATTCCATTTCCATTTTATACAGCTGGACTTGTTGCCCTGGTACTCGCAGTCGCCATCTGCAGTTAGGAGAACCCCCACTCAATCAACCCTGGTCTGTTTATGACCTGCTACTTCTAGACGCAGGTAAGCTGCTTGTTCGGTTACTGTCCGATATCCGCACACGAACCGAGCTCCATGAATGATGTCATAAAGACTAGAGCGTTACGGAGCAGCTTGTTTTTAAATCTACTTCAGCTGCTTTTGTGTGGTTCACGGTGTACATGCCTCCTGACACTTGTATTATTAAACTAATGGCTGGTAGGCACTATTTCGAAACACTTCCTTTGTTCAGAAAACCCAGATGTTCCATGGGCACCCAACTTAAGCGATCGTTATGCAGAGCTGTCTTGCTTCCGGCGTCCCTTGTTTTCTATAAGCTGGTGTCCAGCTTATTCCATTAGCACGTGCAAATGAACGGCTCCAATCCTAATGATTTGATTCAATAGTAGTGGAGTACCGTGATGCATCCCACACTCCTTTTGGTTGATTACAATAGACCGGTTCATCGCTATTTTTTCCGTATTTACTATGTTCCGTAACGTGGTTGCCGCACTCTCATTCATTTGATGTGCCCATTTGTTTCCCGGATGGCGTTTTACTGTGGCTTCACATAATCGTTTGGATGACAATGTCGCGAGTGTCGCCAGATGGATTATCTGATCTGTGGTGCACAGATTGCATCTCTGCTCGCACACTCACATTCGGAGTGGGTTCATGTAAGGAACTTGGGGGCTTGTCGATAATATTCCGATCATGATGAGACTGGGGAATGGGTCGGTAGATAACGCGGGGCGGATGAAAGGTAACTGACTATGGGTAACGCACTGTTTTGTGTGAATTCGTTAACTACATATATATATATATATATATATATATATATATATATATTCCATCCTGGTTAGTTTATGCACTTCTTTGTTTTCTGTTTGCGTTCTACCTCATTCGTTATCCTGGCGACTAGATCTAACGCACTTCTGTACACGGATCAGTTGTCTAACCAAACCAAATCACTTCGCCAACATTTAAGAGGATAGATGGAAAACAACTTGCTGTAAAATTAACTTAAGCAAAGCCTGCGCTGGTTGCGAAACTTGGTGGTCCCAACGCGCCTTAGAGCTGGAAACGGTAGCCCTCTCTGGAAACTTTCGCAAGCTCTTCCAGGTCATTCGGACCACTGGTCACACAAAACCTGGAGTCAATGAGGTCATTTGCGAGGTTGACGGAAGGCCGATCACCAACGTACACAGGCGCATGGACCGGTGGGCTGAACACTTCCGCACTCAATTCAGCTGGCCTCCTCTGCAGGCGAACCTAATGAGTATACCTAGTTGTGCGCCTTAGAACGCCTCATTGGAACCACCCAGTGAAGCTGAGGTCTGCCTTAAGCTCAGACACTTGAAACGATTCAAGTCTGCTTGCCCAGACGGACTTCTTCGGGAGCTGTTCGAGTTCGGGAGCGAAACGATTGTCAACCAGCTAACATCACTGTTCTCTAAGATCTGGTGTGAAGAAACAGTTTCATCCGCTTGGTGCGAGTCAATTATCCTCACTATCTTCAAGAAAGGTGCCCATACCCTATGAGCTAACCACTGAGGAATCAGTCTAATGTCCGTTGCCTCCAAGCTGTTAACATTCATTCTACTCCGCAGACTAACTCCGATTAGAGAATTGCGCTCCCGTGAAGAACAGGCTGGTTTCCGCCTCGGTCGAGGGTGTATAGACCACTTGCTCACGCTCCGCCAACCCCTTGAAACGCGTCATCTTTACCGCCAGCTCACTATCGTTGTTCTTCTGGACATCCGAGCCGCTTTCGGCTCCGTCGATTGACCAGCTTTATGGCGTTACTTACAAAGGAATAGAGTACCCGAAAACTATATCGCCATCCTTGGAACATTATATTGCAATGTGAGGGCTTACGGTATGCTCTCCTCACCTTTTGCCGTCACTAGCGGTGTACGACAGGGTTGCCCCATGTCCCCGTTTCTCTTCAATTTTGCGATCGAGGATGTCCTTTTAAACGCTCTCGAAGGTTTTCAGGGTTCTGGTGTAGAGTTTCTTCCTGGCGACCGCGTGACCCATTTAGATTAGGCTGATAATATTGCCTTGCTTGGTGATGACGCACAGAACACACATGCCGTTCCCAACCGCTTGGCGATTCAAGCATCAAAATATGACATAACCCTTGCTCCTACGGAATGCAAAGTCCTGTTCCTGGACTGGCATCCACCTGCCCCAGTGCTCACTCTTCAAGGTACGCAGTTTGGAAAAGTGGACAACTTTGTTTACCTGGGAAGTTGTATTGCTGCTGATGGTAGCATTGGAAAAGAGATTTCCCTCCGCATTGCCAAAGACCGTTCGGCATTCGCCAGCTTGAGGCATCTGTGGCGACTCCGTGACGTGTCACTATTGGTAAAGAGCAGGGTCTACAATGCCTGTGTTCGCGCGGTGCTGTTGTATGGGAGGGAGTCCTGGTCTATTCGTGCGAATGACTTGCGTCGGATTTCAACCCTTGACAAAGCATGTCTGCAAATAATAGCTTGAGTGTGGTGGATGAACCACGTGCGCAACGATGACGTTAGACGTCTCGTCTTGGGTAACACGGGACTTCCACTTGACAGACTGGTACCGCTGTGCCAACTGAGATGGCTGAGCCACGTTTTACGCATACCATGCGAACGGCTGCCCCGACACGCTCTCTTGGCCCGCACATGACTAGGCTGTAAGAAACCGCGCATTGTTCAGTCTATCACTTGGCGAAAAACCAGAGGGTAGAATACAAATCAAAAACAACTCACGGAGGCTACGGAGGCATTTCTCTTCCTCTCCTTTTTCTTCCTCTTCTTATATATATATATATCGGTATGAAGGAAAGATGCCTTCTTCCTGGAGCGAATCAGTTGTCCCGATTTTTGAGGTTACTCGCACCTCATGCACCAATCACCGGTTACCCCAACCTATTGGCATCTAGTCTACTCCGTGGACTATTTCCGATCCGAGAATCGCAGTACCGGAGAGAACAACAAGCTAACTTCCATCATAGCCGTGGGTGTTTGGATCAAATCTTCACGCTCCGCCAGATCCTCGCACACCGCCATCTCTGCCAGAGGCCTGCCATCGTTGCATCTTTGCTGCATTTGACTTAGTTGATCGACCTGCGCTATGACTTTGTTTGCTAATGAACGGAGTCCTACAAAAGCACACTGTCAGCCTACGCGCACTCTACCACGTTTCCGGCAGAGTGAGGGTCTATGACAAGCTTTCTTTTCCTTCCTCGTCAATAGCGGTGTACGACAGGGCTGCCCTATGTCCCCATTCCTCCTCAACTCTGCAGTCGAAATAGCCCTATCCAAACCTCTGGAAAGTTACCAACATTTTGGTCTTCAGCTACTACCGGGTAAGCGAGCGACCGACTTAGATTATGCCGATGACATCGCCTTAATTGGTGACGACTCACAGAGCATGCAAACCATTCTAAACCTTTTGGCGATTGAGACATCTATGTACGGAATGTGCTTTACCCCGTTGAGGTATAAAGTGTTGCTCCAGGATTGTCGCTCAGCCGTTCCTTTGCTCACTTTTGAAGGTGCACAGTTTGAACAAGTTAATACCTTTTTCTACCTGGGCAGCTGCGTGTACGCTGGCGGCACTATTGAAAATGAAGCTTCTCTGCATCGCCGAAGCTCGGTCGGCTTTGGTCAACCAGAAAAGTTGTAGCGTCGTCTGGATGTCTCTCTCTTAATAAACAGTTGTGTTTACACTGTCACTGCTATATGGGAGCGAGTCGTGGAGTACATGCGCCGACCTTCGACAACCGGTGTTCGAGGAGGAGTACTTCTATGTAGTGGTAGCAACTTATCTGTACCGTTGAGGTTGGGGAATGCGAGTTTTCCCTTCAACAAGCTGGTTTTACTGCGCCAGTTAAGATGGCTCGGTCACGTCTTGTATATGTCAGCTGAGTGTTTGCACCATTGTGCCCTTTTCACTCGTGCATGACTCGACTGAAGGTGGATGCTTGGTGATCAACCGTCCACTTGCCGACAGCAATTGAAATCGTTGACTTCACGTCTAGCTGCCGTTGGGTCCATATGCCAGCCTGGTTGGGGATCAAAAGACAAAGAGTGTCGTTGGCTTGGAACATTTCAGAATATGGCGCGCAACCGAAACCAGTGGAAGCTCTTTATACATACTTGTTTATATTCCAATGCTTAATATCCAAAAACTAAAAAAGACAAAAAACACGAAAAAATAGTGCGTGCAAAATAACAAAAAGGTTTCGCTTTTCCTTTCATGACAATGGCCAAAAGGTTTTGATCACCCTCAGCTAATGTGTCATGATGATGATGTGGCGATTCAACCTGTCTTTTTCCGTTGATTTCTATGGTTATGTTTGGCTCTATGTCTATCCGTTAGATTGTTGCTAATACTTAGATACATGCATACGGTCGGAACTTGTGGCAACATACTATAATGAAAGCCTAATTAGAGCATATGCCTATTTGCCATCGCAACGAGACTGGAGCTTAGCGTGGTGCGATGGCTTGCGTACCCCCGTGATCCATTGAGCTATGCTGCGTGGCACTTTTCAATCGTCTTCAGAACCACTCATACCAGACAGGCCAGCGGTTAAAAGTCAGACTAATTCAGTCTGACAATCCAATCCTCTTCGGAGAGGTCGATGGCCTTCTTCCTTCCATGGGAGACAAAGGTTTACCAATTATAAACTCACAGCTCGTTTAGCGTTGAGCACAAGCGCCACGCATTATCCCTGATAGTGGGAGAGCACCTTCCGCTGCTCAATAGTTTGCTGCCGCTCGTCTCAAACCAGGCAGCCCCTGGTCCGATTGGTGCAAACCCGCCAACTCCCACCTGCAGATGGTCGGGGTCGCATGCGCGTAACATAATACGGTCGTAAAACACAAGTGCGTTCTTATAAATCTTCAAAGCCTGTTTGTGACAGACCTCAAGCAGATCCCAATGGATCTCCACAGTCACACTCCTCAACTGGACTTGCTCCCCACTGTCTTGTGAATCAGGTTACTGAGCCAACGGCTCTGGGTGGAGTCCTACAAGCGAACCTGCGCAAC